TGATTGGATCAGGTAGCGTTTCTGAAGCTTTCAATTGCCTAATGAAAATTTATAGAGCGACAAATCCGGTGTACGCATATCTACATTACAAGACACGTTAGATTCAATATAATAAAACAAAAATTATCAAACAACTGTGCTACAAAATTATTATTAACGAAATAAAAGTTAAAATAGTATCTAGTTATTAAACATTGCACGCGTTATTGTTTTTACTGCTTGCGTATTAGACGACATTAGAAATAGTAACCACAAAGCACGTATGGATAAAGCAATGCAGATGGTCAGTATGGAGAGTACGCGTATAAACAATTTTTGTATAATATTTCCTATAATGATAAAAGAGTTGCTCGTTGGACTAGCATGTATAGGATTTGCAAGTGCAGTGGCAGATGCGCCAGAAACCAAAGGCCGAGTAATCGTGTTTGGCGATGATCTTGGCGACTCTGGCAACCTCCAAAAACTGACAAACGACAGCAGCATCGGATACCACGAAGGCCGCTTGACAAACGGGCCCACGTTTGCCGAATACATGGCAACCTCCATGGACCTCACATTCAAAAGCTACGCATACGCAAACTCCACCACCGACAACGAATGGATTTCGTCCAAAGTCAATACATTCATAGTGCCCGCATTAAGCGACCAGGTAATAGAGTTTACTGAAGCCGAACGCGACTGGATTCGGCGCAAAACCGGAATCCACAAGAGCATTGCGGTGGTTAGCGCCGGCACCACAGATGTTATAAAGAACACGCGTGTGCTGCAAAAGACAAACGACAGGGAGTTTGTGCAAAAGTTGGTAGATAATGTGTTTTTGCAGGTCAGGGCACTGGGAAAGCTTGGGTTTACAGGAATCGCCATTACGAATCTTCCCGCGCTCTACATAATGCCTTTCTGGCGGCTGCTTGCATCAGTCGACGTACTACACGACTTTGTCACTCTAACCAACATTTTATTCCGCGAATCGCTTATTGAAAACGAACAACGCATGGAAGGCACCAAGCTCTGGCTGTTGGATCTTGAATCATTTTTGCTGGTGACGGCCAACACGACGTTTTCCAAAACTATTGGCGCCAAAAACACCACATCGCCGTGCATCAGCAGTTTGGGCAGTTGCGCAGATCCCGCAGACTTTGTGTTTTACGACAGTTTCCACATGGACGTGCGGCTCAACCATATGCTTGGGCTGGCCGCAGCAAACATGGCTCAAGGGGGAGACATTCAGTACAACTCGACTTATTTTGGGAAGCTGGCCAAAGACTATGAGATTGGCGTGCTGTACCACACGACAGCGACTGTCGCCGTTGACCCAACAAACACGGGGCAGGAGCAGGCGAGCACGGCAGCTGACCCCCTGCTTACCAACGTGCAAAACACAGCTGCCAATTGCTCGCTGACAGCAATGTGCACGGCAGCAAGTATCGGCCAGGGTTTGTCAGCCACCAACGCAGTTCAGTCGAATGACGGGGGCATAAAAGTGCCTGCATGGCCATTTATTGCAGTCTTGGCCGCGGCATTGTCACTTGGTTTATAATTTTTAAAAAAAAAAACTGTTAATGCACAATTTCGGGGTTGGCTCGGGCAGTATGTTTCCGCTGGCGTATTTACCCGTGCATTTATCTCCGCATTGCGGCAGTTGAAATGGATTTATGTGTGGAGGAACAAATGCCGATTCCGCAGTCATCCACAGCCGAACTGCCAAAAAGTGTATTGGGGAAATGCACAATTTTGCAAAAATGCTGTGTAGGAACAGAGCGATGCACGATCAAATGCACGTTCTAAAAATAACTTGGGCAGATTTGTAGTACACGATCAAGCTCACAGATCTGAAAACAGACTTTGCGCAGTGGTCAGGTATCCAGAGACTTTCTAGATAGACTGCGGAACAAGCTTTGATAGTCTAAACAAAGAAACGAGTACGCAGCAAGCTAAAGTCTCAGGATACCACGAGTGTAGAAATAACGGGATGCGGACAGATGGGGTGACTTGGTTGCACAACGGGCCTTTTTCACAAAGGACGGAGCAAGTCAGGCGGATACCGCATGTGGGCACCGCCCTTCCCACATGAGACGAGGACGAGTATTAACGGCGTTGAAGCTGGGGAAAGACAGCATCGTCCCTGCGTTTCACCCTCGGCATTGTTAGTCAGCTGCCGCATGAGGGGCGGTGCCAAGCTCAGCCAAACGACTATATAAAGCAAGCGCCGAACGCCACGACTTTTCCTTCCCCTACTTTTTTTTCGTACTCTGGCTGCGCTTTTTTTTCAGCTACCTTTCTTTATCTGACCAATTTACCCTTTTTGCAATTCACACTTTAGTCTAGACACAGACTGACTCGAGTTTGCGCATTTCCCCCAATCGCACCTTGAAGTCTTCCCCAACCCCTTGCTTCTTGGAGTGCGTGCGCGCAGTTCTGCTACACATTCTTTTTTATTGTATTATTGGTGCTCATCAGTAGTCTTAATTTCAGCGACACTTGTGCTTGTTGCGCATACTTTTACAAACTTTAGGCACAAGCTGCAAATGAACTTTTCGTTCGCGTCGGCGCCAACGACGCCGTTTATAACACAAGTGGACGGACGAGCGGCAGTTTCGGGCTCGGGGCTTGGAGCGCAGTTTCTCTCGCCAAACAATGCGATTGCGCCGTTTAGCGCAACCGTCGGGAGTACGTCGATGTCGCGGGCGACTGACCCGCTGCACGACATTGGGTCGCCGGCCGCGCTGCAGTATCTGTTTGCGCTGAGCAACAGTCCGCTGTTTATAAGCGAGTCGAGCATGCCGATGTCGCCGGCCGTTGGGATGCCCAAGCACACACCGGCTCAGCCGGCTCGGTTCGCGCACTTGCAGCCGCCGGCGCTTATTGTCACATCGTCGCCGACCGCGTCGGGAGCGCTGGCCACAGGGCCAATGGGCTCGACAGGCTACATGGGCTCGATAAGCTCGATGGCGGAGCGGTCTCCGGCCCAAGCCACAGGGCCGATGGTGTCGCCGCTGATGGACGGGCATGCGAGGTTCTTCCGGCCGTCCGAAGTGTTCACCACGCCGGAGATCCGCACGCTGCCCGACCCCGTCGGCGACAAAACGCCCGAGCTTGCGCTGTTCGACGACGCCGACGCGCTGGCCACGACCATGCCGCTCAGCGCGCTCAGCCCACGGACGCAAACGGCCCAGGCCGGGCTCACGCTGCTGGCGGCGTCAGCTACATATGCGCGGGACTCGGGGCCTCTGACGCCCGAAATGGCCATGCTGCGCACAAGCAACGGCCCTTCCGCCCTCAGCCCGCGGCAAGCGTCGCCGCACAGCCGCAGCTCGGTCTCGCCCATGCTGAGCGACACGCAGGCCACCAGCGTAATGGGCGCGGCGTTCCTCAATGCCAACGGCGACGACCCGACGCTCATGTCGCAGCCGCACAACAGCCTGGCGCAGCACTTGTCGCCGCCAATGGTCGACCGCGGCGCCCGCTGCATTGCCCGGCCCACATCGGCGTCCGGGCCTTTCACAAGCGGGCTGTCTGCTTTGGCTAGCACCAATCCCGCGCTACAGACGCTGACCACCGCCTCGGCGACCGGCCTGCTGACGCGCAACCGCAGTCTGCTGCGGCAGTCGTCTGGCCTGACCAACGCCAGCTTCTACAACGACCTGGTGCCCCAGGCGACCGAGTCGTTCTTCGCGCCGCTCGACGAAGTGTGTTCGGACGGAGCCGAGCCGACGCCGCGGACGCTGGCCGGGCCGCCCATGGGCGCCCAGTTTTCGCCCCTCATGTCGCTGGCGCCCGCCCAGCGCCCGCAGACCGCGTGGCCGTCGCACCGCATGGGCGGCTCGGCGTCGCCGATGGTCCCGTCCGGGCAGTATGCCGGGCTGTCCCCGCTGGCCCCGCTGGCCCGGACTGCTGCCCGCACCGCCGTGCCAAGCCCGTCCGCGCACGCCCACATCCCCGGCGCCATATTCTCGCAAATGCCGTCCCTCACTCCGGCGCCGCCGCAATCTGCGCCAAGCTTCCCATACGACGACTCGAGCGGCTCGGAGAGCGAAGAGGGCCAGCCAAAGCGCCAACGCACGGGCAAGCACAAGCGCGACCAGCAGCGGCGCTTCGACTGCGACTTGTGCGACCGCTCGTTTGCGCGCCAATACAACTTGAAAACTCACCGGCTTACGCACTTTCCCAATATGCACGAATCGCGTCCCTACAAATGCCCCTCGTGCCCCAAGGCGTTTACCCGTCGGCACGATCTCCAACGACACGCCGTGTTGCATGAGCGCACGGGCAAGCATATTTGTGAAAAGTGTTTGCAAGGGTTTCCCCGCAAGGATTCGTTGAAAAATCACCAAAAAATGGAATGCGCTTAGGTCTTGCATTCCTCTTGTTAATTGATATATATTTTATTGTGTAGTGGGGTCTTTTGATATTTATCACATGTGTATACTGATAATCGTCAGACGTTTCAGTTAAATGTTGACACAAGATAAGAGTGGGATTAAGATGAAATACATTCCTTATATAAAGAGTGGCCGCCAGTGGTGCAGAAACAATAGCCTTTTTTGAGTTTTCTGTCTCTGTTTAAATGTCACTCTAAATTACTGGATTAGCGCACGTATCTTGGTTGCAAAATGTATCGACACACTTTTGCCATAAACTTGTATTTTGGTGAGACATGTATTCAGACATAGAAAATGATTGGTAATTATATTTTTTTGCGCCGCTCGCGCCCACTCTTTGTATAGAGTTGTTAATTTGTCTTTAATCTCGCTTATTACATTTTTGCAAGTAAACGCTTCTTGTGCTGGCATTTTAATGTTGAACTATTGATGGAAGTTTATTAAAAGTCGCTGCGACGGCATTTGATTATGACTAGCAAAAGTAAGTGCACCACATAATGTTATCTATGAAAGTGTGGGCGCGAGCGGCGCAAAAGGTAAAAATTCTATAGTTTTTTCTGCCTTCGCATAAGCAACTTCCAGGCCAATTGATCGGGCAAAAAAAAACCCAAAAAAATTGCGCGCCCTGTGTGGGTGTCGAACCCACGACATTTCGGTTAAAAGCCGAATGCTCTACCACTGAGCTAACAGGGCTTAATTAGATCCTGTTGATTTCATGTCAACCCTCAAGCTAATCCGCCACTTCCGACAATAGTTCATTTCGAGTATATTTTAAATCTACGCATTCTTTTAAGCCAAAGAGCCACTTTATTTGCGGCATTACGAGAAATAAAAATCAATCAGGGTATCGGGGTATTCGGAAAGCCAATTTTATTTTGTTGGCATCGCTGTAGAAGAGCCAAGTGAGTAAGACCGCAGCTAAACTTCTTCTGCTGCCAACCCGGATCAAGCGACACACCATTAATGGAAGAGAACGTTTTTGAGCATGTCCTTGAGCACCTTCAAGCCATAGCTCGCCTGCTTTTTGAGCCGCGATCAAGCCTGATCACGTCAAGAAATGAAGGTGCTCAAAAGGTGCTCAAAAACGGACTCTAATGGAATTACTATAGCATCATCCTCTGTGGGCGCCTGCTCTATGCCACATTTGACTTATGAAATAATAGTTTTAATGCACGACTGCCTTGACCGTGCTTTTTATTTAAACACCCAATTTTAGCGTGTTTAGCAACATGATCTTTCTCTGTTTAAGACGACGCTCTCCAATTTATTAAAATTGCATTTTATTACTCTTGAAAACGATAAACGAAAATGCGCTTCCAGCAAACGCGGCGACCCTTCAAACGGTGCCACCGGTTGTCGTGGACCACACCGACAATTGCATGTATGTCGACACGCTCACCGGACGTCCAGCAAGTCCAAATGGGGCTGCCGTCCGGGCGTCTATCACCGATGTGCACCGCAAGACTGTTGCGGGCAGTGTTAAACGTAAAGCCGCCGCCGCTCAGGCCAGTGATGCGATGTCTCGCAAACGTGTAGCCAAACATGTCCCGGATACGCCCAAAAATCAGGCGAAGTGTGCTTCAGGTGCCCCGAAGAGGAAGAGGAAGAAGAAGAAGAAGAAGAAGAGCGCCCGTCAGATTCATCCGGACGCCAAAGCCGACCAAGCCAAGCATCCAGCTCTGCGTGAGCCCACGATTTTGCTGAACCTTGGCGCTGGACTCTGCTTGAATCTCATTTCCGACATACCTCTGAAAATCATGGAGTTGTTGGGAGTGCCAGAACATGTGCTGCCGGGCTCTGCCAAAGATCCCATTGCAGTCTTTGAATATTCCCCGAGAGACGAGTTTATCGGATTTGTTCTGAAGGAGTGCAGCATGCTGTACAAATTGTTGTGCACATCACTTGCGTTCAATGGAATGCAATATCCGTGGAAGACAGCCAACGGGCCAATCCATGCGATTGGCATTATCGCTGCACCAACTACTGCCACTCCACGACGCCTCGGTGGAGCACTGCGCAGCCATGGAATTCTGGTGAATGTAGAATCCTTCCAACTGAAGGGCATTTGCTGCGGCGATTGGACTGGATTCCTAGAGCTAAAACCGGGTCAAACTCTTCCCGAGTTTATCAAGCTAAACAACCATGCAAAACCCGTGCGAATCGTGTCATTCGACAAAATGGTGCGCTGTGCCGAGTGTGGTTGTATTCCGACGCCGACCTGTGAGTGCGACTTAGTCAAGCGACTAAAAGATCTGGCTATACCTATGGATGTCGTGTTACCGATGGAGTCAGCAGATCCTGGCACCGAAAACAATGCAAATGCAAACAAAAATCAAACAGTGGATGAAAATCGAAATGCGAAGATGACACCACACTTGCCAGGCAATAATATTGCAAAGTCTGAGATCACCAAACATCATGTCCGCGGTGGAAATAGCGAAATGTTTACAGAAAATGGCACTCCTATAGTTTTTGCGCACAATTCTGCAATGGCAAAGAGAGGCCCGTACTCGCGGCCGCCTCAGACGCGGTCTAGGAGATCAGGTGCCTTGTACACCAAATAATATTCCTCGCCCAAGGGTCACATTTTCGAGTGTTGTAAAATACTCGAGCGGGTCACAGAACCAGCGAAGCTGCAACTGCCGCTGCCGACCCAAGACAGGTTGAGTTTACCTGTCAACTGAGTTTATATCATGGTGAGTATGTTTTTTTGTGCGCATCTGCTCTATGCCACATCCAGCACCTGAAGAATAATTTTTAATAGCTGGGTTTTGCTTTTTCTTTTATTTTTCGTTAAAAAAATATCTTGTCAATTTTAACTAATAGTTTTTGCACGGTGTCCTTGCCTGTGCTTTTATCCAAACAACAAATTTAGTGTGTTTTACAAGCAAACCGAAATGACTGCCGACCAGTTGAACGTGCTAGCCAACTCTGCCGATGCCGGATATCTCAATCTGGATGGCGCGGACAACGACGACGGTGGAGTTTTCACTGGTGGCCATGATTCACTGCCGCCAGGGCACATTCGGCAGGCAGCGCGAGTTAGTGATGTTCCGGATTTTTCCGTATTTTCGCACAATATCCGCGGAACGGGCGTCAGCAACCGTGGATACCAAACTGGTGGCGGGCCACTAAACGAGGCGGACCGCTTTTGCGAAGCGGAATTTCACGTATCCAAGCTTGCGGAGCTGTACGACGCTCTTGGCAAAAGAGAAATTCCGCCGAACACCTACCACGACATAGGGCTAATCCAAGAGTTTCGAACGGTGATTTCGCCGCAAGTTATACTGCGGACGCGCTTTGTCGAATATTCGACATTTGCCGGTCCTCCTCATGTTGCAGGTGGGCACTATGACACGGTTGTTTTAGTCAAAAAAAGTTTTGGCAAGGCACAACTGGAAGTTGAAGTCAGTTGTGAGCGCGCAACTTTTATTACAATCCCGGATTTTGGATTGCTTGTCGTCTCGATTCATGGTGCATTTGACGATATACGTGCCTTTCACCAGGATGTCATTTCGAAGGTCGCGCGGTATAAAGAGGCGGGCTGGACGCCGATTGTCGGTGGCGATTTTAATATTGCGCCTACGGCAGCTGACCGCCGCTCTCCTATTTGGTGCAACGAGCAAGAGGTTATGTCTCTATATACAGAAACGCTTGAGCTAAGCAATGTATGTGAGGTATTGGAGGATCTGGCAAATCCGAGCCCGACAACTGATCGAAGCACTTTCTTTACGTTTCGAAGAAAAAACAGGGGCAAATATGTATATGTTTCGCGGATTGACCACATCTTGGTTCCGCCGCATCTGCTAGATGTGGGACGTGCGTCATATGACGACATTGATGTCGAAACGGATTTCTCAGACCATAAGCGGATTACCGTCTACTTGCCGCAGACACCACCTGGAGAGTTCTTCTCTGTACCGTTCTGTATGTCGCACGATTTTCTGGCAGACCCGGTACATCTGGCCAAGATTGAGCAGATCCTGTGCGAATTCGACTTTTCGCTCACTGGTGTCGCGGCGTTTGAGAAATACAAAAAGTTGCTTGGCAACATTTTAAAGTACGCGCGCAATCAGAACAAGCGGCAGCAGAGCGATTTCGAGCATAAAATTAACTCGCTTCGCAAAAACCGGGCGCGACTCGGCAACGAGCACCGCGGCAAAGGATGGTCAATTTGTCAGAACGAAATTCGTGATTTTGAGGAGCAGGCAATTGCGCTGACCAAACGCACGTCAATAACTGTTCAGGAGCGGGTGGCCGCGAGTTGGCTCAAGAACCGCGATTGTGACTCGTTCTGGAGGACACTGGTCAATAAGCGACAGTTCCACCCGCGATGCAAACAAGTAATTGCTGCATTGGAGCACTGCTTGCCTGCAGGGTTATCCACGGTCAATCGCGATTCAGGCACTGTTCATCCGTCTGGTTCTTCCTCGCAGCACCCGTCTGCTCAACGACCGGCGCGCGCGGAAGTACCACGCGGGCCCATTCTTTCCAATGCAGCAGGCGTCCGCGAGGCGATTGAGTATTATTTTGGTGCAAAGTACGCGCACGACGAGCCATTACCGGAAAGTTTGCGCAGACTGCTTGATTCACTAGAACACCGGATTCGCGAACGGGGTTGCAACATTACTGATGCCGAGCGAGCGGCCATGTCGTCGGTTTTTGAACTTGTCGACATTGCAATTGCTTGTTCAAAAGCAAAACGCCTAAAGGCCGCAGGGCCCAATGGTATTCCTGCCGAGCTGTATATCCAGTCCGAGACCGCGCAAAAGATTCTCTGCCATTTGGGCAACATCTGGTTGAGCGATCCGGCTTCTGTGCCTGCGTTTTTTGCCGAGGGATCCATCGTGCTTCATCACGAAAAGGGCGACCGGACGCTGTTGGACAATTATCGTTCGATAAGTATTTTAAACGCGGATTTGAAGATTCTGACTTCGATCGTCGCAGAGAGAATTGGTAATCTGGTAAGCCGTGCTGTGGCGCCTGAACAATTTGCAGTTATTCCTGGGCGCCATATGGTCGACGGCATTTATAAGGTACAGGCCGCCGCGAAGCATCTCGAGCTGTCGGAGAGTCAAGGCGCCATGGTCTTTCTGGACCAGGAGAAGGCAGTTGAGCAGATCTCGCACACTGCGTTGTTCGCCGTTCTTGCCAGAATCGGCATTCCGGCCAATTATGTTGCTGCGATTAAAGCGCTCTACAGCATTTCACCATCGCGCGTATTGGTAAATGGCAAGCCGTCGGGTGTCATTCCGATCCGTCGCGGTGTGCGACAGGGCGATGCGCTGAGCAGAATTTTATTCGCGATTGCTGTAGAGTTGCTGGGTTGCGCAATTTGCGAAAATTTGCCACCCGCGGCGCGTTTAGTGATCCCGGGCGCGGACTGCAGCCACGTCCAGTATATGGATGAGACAGTCGTGATGCTCAGTTCGCTGAAATATTGGCCGAGCTTGGAGCGTGGCCTCAAGGTATACTGCGAAGCGACGACGGCGAGTTGTAATATCACTAACGCCAAGATTGTGCCCTTTTGTCACAAAACATGTGAGATCCCGAGCAACTTGCCGGTGACGCCTGTTGCTGAAGGTGTACCGGTTCACTTCATCGGCGCTATGATTGGCTGGAATGTTCAGCCGTCAACGCGCAAAGCTCTGCTCGACGAACTCATGTTCAAGACTATTTCCGCTGGTCGACAA